TCACTGACGGGACGAAGGTCGCACCATTCTGAGCCGGACAGACCTTGTTACAATTAGCAGAAGATGAAGGACATAGTTTCCCACTAGCTGTGCCATCCATCACTCATGACAGGTATGTCGATGACATATTTGATGGTGCAGATACAATACAACAATTGCAGGAGGTCGCACATCAACTAAAGAGCCTCTGCATGGCGGGCGGCTTCCCACTGGCAAAATGGCATGCAACTCATCTCGACATACTCAAGACTGTCACCGACAGCGAAGACCAAGGCTCACAAATCACCTTCGACGATTGCGCAACCAAGATACTCGGACTCAAATGGCTCCCTCAAGAAGATACCTTTGCATTCTCAACCAGGAACTCACTCATTGAAGGCAGACTCACAAAACGCCTCGTCTTATCTGAAGTGGCTCAGATACTCGATCCACTTGGTTTTGCATCACCTGTCGTGATCAAGGCCAAAATTCTCTTGGAGGAGCTGTGGCTGCACAAGCTCCAATGGGATGATCCACTGCCATCCCAGCTCTCAGCCCGGTGGCTCATCATCAGAGAAGAACTCACAAGCTTGGCCAAGCTCTCAATACCTCGGTGGCTCAACACGTGGAGCGACTCGCAAGTGGAACTTCATGAATTCTCTGATGCTTCTCAATTGGCAATGACTGCAGTCATATACATATCCGTTCACGACTCAAACGGCGCCACGTTCTCACTTGTGTGCTCCAAGACTAAGGTAGCACCTCTCAAGCGGTTCTCAATCCCGCGACTTGAACTCACGGCTGCTCTACTACTCTCTCGACTCATGCAATACGTCAAAGCCACTTTGAACATGGACGTAACGGCAACTCATATGTGGACGGAATCTCTAGCGACACTTTCATGGAACACCTCTGTGAAAGGTTCATGGATCAGATCTCATGCATCACGCTGGAAGGATTTTGTCAGAACCAGGGTGGCTCGAATTGAAGAACTCACTCCAGCTGCTCACTGGAGATACATACCTGGAACTTCCAATCCGGCTGATTGCGCATCACGAGGCCTCACGACTGCTCAACTTCCAAGTCAATCACTTAGGTGGACGGGACCACCATGGATACTCAACCCAGACTCATGGCCGTCGCAACCTGCACTCTCTGAAGAATTGAGTGCAACAGAAGCTCGCCCAGGCGTTTCGCTATTGACGGTTACGCCAAGGACTGAATATCAATGGGAACTCATCTACAGGTACTCAAACCTCACTAAACTATTGAGGATTACAGCTCTCTGTTTCAGATTCGTCTCACGGTTGAGGAAAGTCCACGACTCATTGCCTGTCAGACACATCTCTCCAGAGACCTTGGAGAAAGCGAGGCTCTTCTGG